GGGGGCATGGCGCAGCTCCACCAGCTGCAGCGGGGGGACAACCCCACGAATGGTTCCCATCATCGCCATGGGAACGGGATTAGCCCCAAACCAGCGCCCGGAAAGCACAGGGGGGTCCTCAGCCCCTTCTCCCAGCTCGGGGGGGGATAAACTGCACCGTCAGGCTGCTGTAGGCCCACAGCACGGGGCACATCCACCCCCCCATCCATCTGCCCTCTCTCTCTTCCCATTTTCTCCTTTAACTGCTCGACAGGATAAAGAAACCGTGCAGAGAGAGGGGGACGGGTACAAGTGACAAAGAAGTGACACACCTGCCCATACAGCTTACCCCTCGTGTAACTGCCACCATCAAATCCTGTCTGAAACACACACTAAAAGCCCAAGGCCGTAACATGACAGCAATCCCTTCTGAAGACAAATGCTCTTCAATTATCTTGACACAAAAAAGTCAATAAAGATTTCCCTAAAAAGCCCAGAAAACAACCAACAGTATAAACAAAACACCAGCACGGGGTAGATTCTGAACTCGGTTCGAGAAGAACCTGGCTGAACACACACAGAAGCAGGGAGGTGACCGAGCCAAGAGCCAGCACACCCGGTGCCTCTCTGCTTCTGCTCAGCAGCGAAGCCGTCGCAGAACAGCCGCCGGCGGTCAGTCCCGGCTCCTGGGACTGCCTGGAGCTGAGCAGGAATCTGGACCCAGGCTGCTCAGTGCTCTGAGGGTGGAGAAGGGCTCACTTCTAGTTCTGATTTTTTTTCCCCACTTCTGCATCTTTAACAGCGGTGGAAGATGATTTCCCAGATGAGAAGGGAAGCACTAACCCATCACAACAGCACGAATCAGAAAGGTGATCGACGGAAATATATGCGCTATAGAGTGGCACAGAAATAGTTCTCTCCTGGGCTCTGGCCACTGCCCAAACTCTTTGTTCCTGATCTACTGGGCACACCCGATTCATCTGCTGGTTCTTTTCTGTATCCTGAGTTTCTTTACTGCCCTGCAGCACCTCCCAGTTCATGACTTCTTATCACTCGGGGAATTTAAGGTTTTCACAACAAACCTAAAATCATCTCTAGTGTTACCTGAAGACAAATCGAAAGGATATGACCCTGCTCATGGGGGATGCCCCAGAGCTGAAGGAGCACGGACAGCCCTTACAACCCCTCCCAAAATACATCAGCAGCAGAGCAAATAAATACCAAACCTTACGACAACCTATAACCATACCCGATGTGATAAAAACACATCCCTCAAACTGAGGCTAACGCATACACACATGTGTACTAGAATTCTCAGAATTTCACACATACAGAAATTTAGCTCGTCTTTAAAGTGGCTGTTTAATTTTTTCCCCCTAAAATCCAATATTTATCCCCAATGCAACTTGTTACTTTATTCTGAGGTTTTGTACATGGTTTTACTACCAGCCACAGCTCATGAGGATGCAGAGGTGCAAGTTAATAACCAACACGGAAATGTGAAAACAGTTTCCCAAACTGTCTATTGCACATGAGCTTTTTAAATTAATGGAAGGGGGGAAAAAAATATCCGCTTCCTTCTCCTCAAAGCTCAACATACTTCACTTGAAACAGAAGTTCTGGCTAAAGTCCCAAATTTTAGGCAGAGTGCAAACTACCACCTCCTGGAAAAGGGTATGTTTTGTGATCCCTGACATAAGGCATGTTGAAATATTAACATCAGGTAACGTGAGCTATTTCCTCCTGTACCTGCTCCAAAAACGCTGCCAGCGAAGGCTGGGGCTGTCACTTGCTTCACTATCGTGTTATCAGAAGACTGCCTTACGGACAAACGGGCTAACTTCTCCTAGCGGCATGGAATGAGTCACATCCTGACAAAAAGCACATCTCCACCTGTGAACAGTTCCAAGATGACAAGAGTTTAGACAGCTGTAACCAAATTTTCCTCTAACAGTGCTAGAAGAGTGCTTAGGAGACGTGAATGGATTTTGTGTGTTTGCTCTACCTGAAATGTAAAAAAAAAACCCCAAAAAAGGCTGAATGGCAGACTGTAATTTTTGCACTTATTTATGGCGCAGGAAAAATACAAAAGTACTTTTTGTCTTTAAAAAAATACCAGGATAATTTCAAGCAGTCATTGCTGTTTTAAATGTAATGACTAACTGCAATCTATAGAAAAACTTCACAGTCACAAAAACCTCGCTGGCCTGAGCGTGAGGGTACAGCACAGCTTCCCAGCCCCCAGCTGAAGGGCCCTCTTTAAAAAAAAGAACGGCAAGAACATCCCATTGCATACCACGCCGCCACTGAGGATGCTGGCCACCTCGTTAGCTCCTAGGCTAAACGGGGAACAGTCATTACTTTATTCCCCTGTTTGCCTCAGCGTCCGTGAAAGGTTTCTGGAGGAGCGGCGCAGACGGGACAGCTCTCACCAGCCGGGATTCTTTCCATGAACAGTTCCAGGCAGGGATTGGAAGGTTCACAGAGAATCTCCTCATTCGGGCTGACGATTTTACCACACTGGGCTGCCACAGTGGTACAGCTGATGGTAAATTAACGCTGCAAATACAGGCGGGTTTTGTTTTGTTCCCCAAGCTAACCCCCTCCCTCCCTCAGCTGCCCTTCACCCAGAGTCGCAGAGCCCCTGCGCTGCTTTATGCCGTAGAAACGGAACCATTGCCCTCAGGAGCTTACAGATGAGAGCATGGGATGTGAGCGTCATGTGCTTCTCTCTCCACGACAGAGCCTGGAGCTTCTGGACATACACGATACGCGCTGGACGAGGAATCTCTTCAGTCTCAAGGTCACAAGACGCTTGATCTTCAGCCTCCGTGTGCGCAGGCTTCCTTTGGTCCTATTTGTACAAATCAAAACGCCTTTAAAAACAAGACTGGAAACACAAACCGAGCGGCAGAGCCGGTTCCTTACTGTACCTGGAAGAGATGAGCACTGCTTAACTGAAGAATAAAGACCACATCTTTGAGACATTTTATTTATCACATAAAGCAGCTACTTTGCTGTTTAAGTCTTGGCTTATATAGTGCATTAAATTGATAAATTAGGCTTAAAAAGCTCTATTTTTGAGAAACCAGAAACATTACTTGGCATTCCATGGTTTGCTAACAAAAAAGAACATGGTGATAATGTTTTCTCAAGCTCTCTTTTGGACATTTGGAGCCTACCTCGAGGGGAATTTTGTCACCGATACACTTGTAAGATCAGGCACTGCGTAATTCATAACAGGGTAAAGAAAACATGGTAATTTCAAACCCATTTCCCAGTCCTGAGTGGGTAATTTCAATGACTGTAGGTTATTACTCTCCATGAAAGCTGAAGAAATATTTTGCTAAAATACTTATTTTCAAATTTCTAACAAGGAAGTTTATGGCTGCTTGGCGGATCTGCATGCTATATAAAACATTCTCCAGTGACTCCATTGATCCCGTTTGGAGACTCGGTGGAATTACACTGGGAAGGAGTGAAAGAGAGGAACGTACCGCAGGCTGTCAAATCCTTGTGCGCAGGGAATATGACTATAACCATAACCCAAATAATCACCGCAAACTCAGCTCCATGTGGCAGCACAAAGAAGAAATAGTATTTCTGTTCGCAAAGCCATCTGCTAAAGCGAGGCAGCAGGAAGAAATCAAGTCCTACATGCACAAGTAAACAGAAGTACTTGCAACTGCCTGATTTACGGATTTCAGTTTCAGAATAAATATTTCTCTTCCCACAGTCTCCAAAACTGGGATGTGTCCTGCTCCCTCAGCCAGGCCAGCCAAGTTACACACCCGCTGCTCTCTGGCACTGCAGGAGGAACAAACAGGATACGGCATAGGTAAACACAGTAATTTCCTCTGCAATCCGACAAATGTAATTAGTGCCCTTAAGCACTGCACATTCGTCTTGCTGGTGGGAGTATTATGTTGAGAAACCAGCTTTTGCAAGTTTAAACAGACCACGAATGGTGGCTGAACAATTTTATTCCTAAATAAGCCAATTAGTCTCTCCACCTACTGAAGCTGATAACGATCATCTTCTTCTAACTTTATTTTTAAATATATGTTTTTTTTATAACAAACAACTCCCATTTTCTGTTGCTATTGTTTACACAGTGGTAGGGAGCAAGTAGGTAACTTTCCACAGGTGGTGGCAAAACTACATCCCGTAAAATGAACAGCTGAAGTCGTGGGTTATTTTTCACACAAAAACCTGATATGAATCAAAAGCTTTCTAACAAGACTTGATAAAATTAACATTCCTGAACTTCCCAGTTACAGAGCAAGGGTGGAGAGTCCTGAAAGCCCCATAAGGAGGCTTAAGATTTAATATTTCTATTGCACAAAAAACAGCCAAGAAACTTTACTTCTGCCTTCTCTTTTGAAAAAAAACAACTAAAAAGTCTTGACTTTTTGTATGAAAGAACAATGGAGAGCCAGCTCACCATTTTTAAAGCCCACCATTTCTGTCTTACAACACAGTACAAAGTAGAGCCAAAGTTTTTTGAACGCAGGGCATTTAATAAATTAGTGGACAAACTGCTTAAACTGATGATACATTTTCAGAGATATAAGTGCAACTATTTTTCTAGAAAGAAAGGCAAATTTGGTTGTTCCTCAGCACAAAGAGAATTTACGTACACCACGAGGTAAATACTTATTTGGCCACAGATGATGCTAGCTCAAGTAGAATTTGCTTCTTTTTCCACGTCATCATCGTCGTCAACAACCTGAAATCAAATCCAGAAGGAGCTTAGGTAAACAGTTTAAACTCTCAGTCCTGTAGGATTGTGTAGAGGATTTATGACATTAAACCCTTGCTGGACCCAAGGAGAACAGCAGTTATTCTACACCACTCAATGACAACAGCCACATGAAGAAGGCAAGAAAAAACTTCCAGTCAAAAATACCAGGAGGAAACGTGGCTGAAATAATAGGAGCTGGTCAAGGTTATTACAAAGGCCACTAGAACAATCACTACAGTATATCAGATTTTTAATGAGAAAGTAAAAGAGTCTGCATGTAAAGCTTGTCCCTTATTATCAAAGTCACCAAAGCAGAAATCACTGGTAAACACTGGTCCAGTTCTGGGCTCCTCAGCACAACAGGGACGAGGGCATACTGGAGAGAGTCCAACAAGGGATCATATCCCTCAACCTGCTGGCAACACTGCCCTTAATACAGCCCAGAGGATCATCAGCCACCTCTGCCGTAAAGGCACACAGCTGGCTCAAGCTCAGCCTGGCATCCAGCAGGACCCCGGCGCCTTTTTGGCAAAGCTGCTTTCCCCCAGGCCGTCCCCTGCATATTTTGGTGCAGGGTGTTGTTCTTTGTATAGTTCTGTATCTTTTTCCTAAGATACAGCTTCTGACTTGGAAAAACTGCATCTATGCAGCCTGTACTTTTGCTTAAACTGCCAACTTGCCCATGCTGGAAAGGGACAAAGAGCTTCTTTTCCATTTGAAAGAAAACAGCTATTATCTCTGAGCAACCCACCTGTTCCACGCCTTCGACTTCAGGGATGTAGAACTGGAGCATGTTCTGTATCCCGCTCTTCAGGGTGATAATGGAACTGGGACAGCTGGTGCACGAACCCTGCAACTTCAGCTGCACAATCCCATCCTCAAAGCCTTTATAAATAACATCGCCACCATCTTCTTGCACTGTCGGCCTGATGGAATAAGACAGTCAATTTAAAGTATAGTTGAAATATGTTTCCCTCCAGAAATCTTTAGAAAGAGTTCAATTTAATGCACACAAAGAACGGTCAGTAACTAAAACCCTCTTTCTCTACAACCAGATGGTTAAAATTCCCAACAATTCGTACTTTGCTGGACCCTCTCGCATTGACAGCTGTTTTTTTTCCCCGTAGAACATTGAGCAAAACGTATTTGCAATGACTGCAGCAGCATGTGACAGAATCATCGACATTCCAGGGGCAAGGGGAAGCACCTTAGAGCAGAGCTTGGTTCAGCCTGCAAAGAGACACTGGTTTGCCTTGAGACCCTCTCCACATGTAACGATGATTGCAGTTAATTGCCAAATTTAATAGGTGTGTGTCCTACCACACGATGCATGTGCACCCGTTACCTGACAGGGGACAGCAATGAGGAGTCCTTAAGTGCTTCCATAAATACGCAGATCCGTTACCTGACAGGGGACAGCAATAAGAAGTCCTTAAGTGCTTCCATAAATACGCAGAGTTCACCATAGTTTACACAGGACAGGAAAAAAAGCTCCAACTATATAAAAGCTTAACCCTGCTAACAGGCAAAGAAACCAGCACCTGGTAAGATCACATCCCAGCACCATTAGCATTTCTGCAGCCTGGTCGCCTTTCGCAAGCAACAAATGCCCAGCATTGTAACTCTGTCCCCATAGCAACATTTTTCCAGCCCAAGCTAAAACCAGCAAGCTACTCAACAGAAGCTCTTTATACCAATTTCCAAAATAACTCCTTTGAGAACGACACTCCTAAGAGAATCATCTATGAATCTGACACATTTAGTAACAACTCACCATGGCAAATTATCTCCATTCCAGAAAGCCAAAGAACATGACTAAAAATTCCATTTTCCTCCGTCGAAATTAACTTTTTTAACACACCACAGGACCTTTCAGAGCTACATTCCCTCCATTCTGCACTTCCTGAATTTCTTTGCACATAATTTCGATCCACTAAACAGTAAATGCTCTGTGCGTACCGCTGGTTTATAAATAGCTTCTGTAGACTATCCTGCTGTAAAATGAAGTAAGATACGCTACAGCTAATATTCTCATCAACAGCTTCTTGGTCCGCTGAGGGGCACTGGGGGAAGGAAATTAAATAAAGAAAAAGGTGGGGAAAAACAAAAAATTTGGGCAGAAATTGTGTGACTGTTATGAAAGGCCACTGGGAACTCAAGGACTAACAAGGAGCTTAAATGACCACCCACCCAGCTAGAGCAGCGCCTCCTGAATTACTTTCTATCACAGCTTTGTACAACAGTAGACTTGGGTTACACATTTCAACACTTAGTACGTATGCTTGGGAAAAATGTTCCAGCTTATTTCTGCTTTTCTCCCTCTCTCCTTTCAGGAAAATTAACCAGGACCATGTGTCAGCTGTGAGATAACCAAAATAGTATTTTAAAATATCACTTTTAAAATGCAGCATCTAAAAAAAATGAAATAAAAAAACCCGCCAAGTTCATCACCACTTCTGGAAAAATTAAACTGAATTCCATGATTTTGACCCACATACAGGTTTCTAGTTCCTGGAACCTGTGAGCTAGGGAAGATGTCGCCACTGGATATCACAGCTTCAGAAACACATCAGACATTTTCCTCTGCATCTAAAATGTCAAGTTGCTTATTCCTTTCAGTTCAACTTGGAAGGCAATTAATGAGCATAAAAACACACTTCAGGTAAACAACATGATCCACAGCCACTCTTGAGACTTCATTAGTTACCACCAGTTTCTAAATTCCAGCTGTGTTAAAATATCCGTAAAATTGCAACAGAGTGCAAGGGCAAAATCCACTGAAACCCAGACAGCAAGGGAAACCCACCAGTAAATTTTCCTTTAGAGTATGATTCAAAAGTATAAACTACTTTGGAATACTTGGAAGGGAAGTACTTCAAACCCCCACACTAGATATTGAACCTTGTAATCACCCAGAAAAATGCACCATTACCTAAATAAATCCAAACCCCAGGGCTAACTCGCTCCATCTAGCAGCGATGCTCCTGGTTTGTTTACCTTATTCTCGTATCCAGCAGTTCTTTAATCATCAGTACAACTTCATCATCTTCTTCTGATGCAGCTTGGGAAAAGAAAAATGTGCAAATCAGAACTCAGAGAGAATTCTGATGGGATTACTAACACTGTATATTCATAATGGCAGAATGAAACACCATTAAAACATTGCTGAGATGACTGAACCCAAAAAGCAGAAGTCTTAATTTAGAGGAAGCATCTTTTTCTGCATTACCCTTATTTACATCCCAGGCTTTCACTGACAAAAGCCAGCACTGGTTCAGAGTTCTTCTCAACAGGCAAAGGCCTTAACAGACAAGAGCAGTGCCACCATTTAAAGGGAGCAACAACTAACGCTCAGTAAGGATGCATGGGTTAAGGCAGGGTCCTCGGAAGGAAAAGTTTTAGCAACCTAAAAAATTCA